ATCCTAAACCCTGAACCCCAAATTGGAGAGAGCCACAGGGTTGGAGGTCTGCTTCCAAATCTGATCCTCCTCTCCAAGCGTGGGCCAGCTCTGCCTTGGTTCAAACCCTCCTCCCCTCCCAGACCCCTGGGCAAATCTAGAAAGTAGATCCCCCTTAAGGGCTCCTAGGGTTCTATAGGGCTATATAGGGTTTAAGATTTAGTGCTTAGGATTTCGAAGCCCAGACCCCCTAAAGGATCTAAAAAATGGAAGCCACCCAATGTGAACCCAATACTACATTGGGGAAACTAGCGATTATTAGGGGGGTCCATTTTTTGGATCCTTTAGGGGGTCTGGGAAGTAGATCCCCATTAAGGGTTCCTAGAAATTATCCAATCGTAGTATAGGGTACCATATTGGGGGTCTACTTTCTAGATCCTCCCAGGGGTCTGCGCTTGTAGGATATACGGGTTTGCCAAACATTAGGGGTACTTCGAGAAGGACATAAGAAGGTTTTTATACGGATATATAATTTAGGGAAATAGGGCTTCCAAAATTAGATTATTGTCACCTTTCGCGGCTTTCCCATCATGTAAGCAACCCCCCCAACCCTAATCTGGGTTGCTGTTAAGGAACTTAAATTAAGTTACTATATTGGGGAAACCCTATTATTTACTATATATACCCATTATGGTAACTTTATTGAAGTTCCTTAACGGCAACCCAGTAATGGTAGATGTGCCCAATACATTTTAACATGCCACAGTGGCGGTGGCGGCTTAACATTAGGAGGAATTAAGCGGCCCCAGCCCTAAGTATGAATACGCCGTATGAATACTGTCCCTAATATCCCAGACCCCCTAAAGGATCCAAAAAATGAAACCCCCTAATAATCCCTACTTTCCCCAATGTAGTAATGGGTTTATATTGGGTGGGTTCCATTTTTTGGATCCTTTAGGGGGTCTGCGTATATAGTGGCTGGCGAGTATTTAGCATCAGGGGGTACGGCAGTTCATTACTAGGGTGAGGGGAGTACTTGCAGGAAAGAGCCTGGAAACCACCACATGTTATTTCGAGCTCAGGGTCCATGGGGTTATATGGTAGTTTCCCAAAATAATGGCACCCCAATATGGGCCCCAACATACTATAGTCCTTATTATGGGGACCCCCAAAAAGGGTACCCTAATTTGGGGAAACCGCCATATAGGGTTTGGATCACTTTGAAGCTTTTTCGTTTGATGGTTTAGGCCTTAGGATTTTAGTAGGAGCTGAGGGCTGAAAGCGTTAGAATGCATAAAGGGTTCAGGGTTTAGGGTTTAGGGATATATTGCGAGTTGTATGTTTTGAGCCTTTCGCAGGGGCTTAGAGGTATTCATGGGGACTCGCGCCCCTTCCAGACCTGCACTCCTTATCCCTCAGCCCCTAAATTGACTAAACCCCTCAACCTCTGAAACTAAACCCCTCCGCTAACCTCCTAAGCCCAAAGCCCGTAAACTTTAAACCCCTAGACAGCTACTTAGGATTCAATATTAAGGGCTGACATACGAGCCTATCAGGTAGGTATTCTTTTGAAAAGGGAGCCCCCAGCAGCTCCAGGGATAGACAGGGATTTCAGGGGATTATGCGGGTCCCCGTGAGGGATACGGACCATGTCGAGAAATGGCCTTTTCGGGGTTTCAGGTGTAAGGTTTCAGGGTTTAGGGTAGCAGCTCGATCATAATGGAGCCCTGTAGTGAAGAATCTAGGGTAAAATTGGACATGCGCGTGGAAATTTTGAGTATACAGTGGCAGAATGGTTGGTGACATTCACAGCAGAACTTCGTAGTCCATCATGAGTTGCGGCGTGGACGTCCGCCGCAAACTCAACTCCGAGAAGATGCTCTCCGGTGGCACCAGGGGTTTAGTGGTAGTTGTCATGGGAGCATTGAGAGGTTGGTCCAAACATGTCATGGCAGCATTGAAACCTCCGCAACAATGCCAGCTGGTAAGACCGGTCTTTTGAGCGAGGCCTTTCAACACTTTCGTCAGTGTCAAAGCAAAGACCCGCTGGGCTATGGCGGGTGACCCTCTGGACAAACAGTCTCCCAGGCCAGGGACGAGCAGGGCATCTGTTACTACCTTACTACCAATGTTTAAAAGTAGTTTCCATGTTCTTTCCATTATCCCTACATAACCCCAATATATAGCCTACTATAGATAATATTCCCTATATGACCCCAACATATACCCTACTATATCATAGTTATTTTACCACTGTTTCCAGCAGACATCACATGCACCGCATCTGCTGATGTTGTTTGAGGGGCAGCTTCTATTTGAGATGCATTCGCATGATTTAGCTCTTGCAGTTGGCTTTTCACAGCTGCTGCTTTCTTAGTGGCTCATGGGGGCGGGCAGCTTATTGTAGATGACATTCCGGATTGCCCTTCCTGATTAGTTGGATCTCCGGGTTTGTTCTGGCACCACATGGATCCATGATTTGTGAAGGATATCATGTCGCCCTGCTTGTGCTTTTCTGCAAGGCGGGGACGCTACCCTTTTTCGCTGGCACCAGCTTGCTCCACCCAGAGCTGGTTCATTTGTGCGGTACTGCACCTTTCTGCTTGTTCATGGGTCATGCATCCTCCAAGGTAATCAAATCCAACGATTTCTGGCCCACACTCTTCCATAAAGGGGTCGTGAGTCCATTGTGGGAGTCCCTGGTAGGATTCCACCACCCTTTTCAGGCGAGGGTGCCTTGGGGGCCCTGTTTGAACTTGTGAATTCGTCCAATGAACCGCAGCAACCATGAAGGCAGTCCGGTGCGTCCCTTCACTTACGTTTGGTTAGCTAGGAATGGAGGAATGGATCATCACAGTAGTCCCTATTTAACCCATTATAGTAGTTTCCATTTTTTCTTTTCCATTCCTTCGTTCCCGGCTAACCAAGGGTAAGTCCAAAGCTCTCCAGGCAAAGTGTGAAGCAGGAAATGCCTCACTAAGTTCTCTGAAGAACCGTCCCACCCTCCCCAAAACGAACATAGGTCCCCATACCTGTTTGACCTCAAAAGACTGTGTTTCCATGCTTTGATAATCTGTTTGGGGGACTGCATGATCAACCCTTAACATCCCTCAGACCATCAGCGTCATAGGATACTACCGTAACAACATTGGAAACCGTTGTCTTGGGGACCTGTACAAACACGACCAATCAGGGACCTCCAAATTTTAGCCAGCAGCTCAACAAACTAGCCTGAGGGTCAAAAGCCTCGATGAAGAAATCACCACATTCCCAGACCTCTTATAGCCTCCAGATGGCAGTTTCCCAAAATAAGGACCCCAACATATACCCCCAAAAATCTAATCCCTATTATAGGGACCCCTCAACAGTACCCCTACTTTGGGGAAACTCCTACGTGTCCTACAACATTCCTGCGCAGTTGCGGGGATAACCCGAAAGCTACACATTCTGCCCATCGGCCAAGATGCCTGAAGTACAAGGCCCCATTGACACGGAAATCTTCCAGTTGGTCAAGGATTGCAAAGTTGTCGGATTCCGGATCTGTTGGATTCCTCAATGAATTGGATAGTGGCTGAGCCCAGGGTTTGCGTAAGTAAGGCTTATCCTAAGATAGAAGAAAATTTTGGGTACCGCAACCCCGAAATAAGGACCTTATGACTGTTGCATGACTCTCACAAGGTCCTTCGCATTAAAAAAAACCCTCTGACTATCATATGGTTTAGGGCCGACGGCGTCCTCACCATCTTTACAAACATGGAAGTCTTCTATGCGCGGTCTGGAATTGCCTACCCCCGGACCCTAAACTACTGCCCTGTAATCTACTTAGCTGGTGGAGGATGATACACAGATGATGCAACAAGGTGTACATGGGAAGTTTTGAATACATGCCACCCTGAAAAGAATGTTCTCAGAAATTCTGCAGAAGCCCCGCACCTGCGCAAAGGGTCTACATCAATGGGATGGATGAGGGTTCCAGAGCGCACAGTGCGCTATTGTTGCAGCAGACCCGGCATGATTTTTGCATGAAACCACCCTAAACCATTCTTACAGCCCTTCAAACAGCAAGAGCTCTTCGACCACTCGTCTGCGGAGAAGAAATATGGCACTGTCTGCCGGAACACAAGCCGCCAATGGTCCTGGAAGGGATGGGAGCTGGTCGTTTGAGAAGCTATATACAATAGTAGCGTCCATTTTCTTTTCCATTTTCCCAACAGAACCCCAATATACTATAGTAGTTTCTATTTTCTTTTCCATTCTCCCTATATAACCCCAATATAGCCCCTATAACCCTAAGCCCTTCAAACTTTAAGGGGTTCAGGCCTGTAAGCCTCCTTTAGCCAAAGCTGAGACGGGGCGAGCCGGAGTGGATCCCTAGAAAAATTTGCCTAAATATACAAGGTATATTGGGGTTATATTGGGTTTTCTTGGGATAATGGAAAATAAAATGGAAACTCCTATAGCATATTGCGGTACAAAACATGTAGCCATTGTTGGTCAAGTTGTTCTTGTTAGTGTCAAGAGTATCCAAACCTACTCTACGTTGGCAGGCTTCGTTGGTCCTGCACTGCACTTGCAGATTTAAAAAATCTTGGGATGCGTGAGTCTTACTGCGGATGGAGCTGGAGCAGCATGCTAAAGTCAGTAAGCCCCACAAATTTCAAGACTTGACTTGACGTACCTTGTTGCAAACTTTGTTCCATCCTAAACCCTAGCCCATAAGCCCTAAAATCCTAAAACCCTTAAACCATGAAACCCTCAACTGTATGGCCCCTCTGTCCTTTGTAGTTTTTGTCGTCGACGATTTCCTTGATTTCCATCGTCTGTTCCTGCGCTCGCTCCTTACTTCAGAGATTGGGAACGGTACAGTAATGATATAGAAATAATAGTAGTAATCGTAATTGTAGTAGCAGGGAATACTTTTTCGCCAGAAACGACATGCGAATTTGGCAAACCCTAAACCTTAATCCCACGCCCTATGCGCCCATATAAGTATCCGCGTGGTTAACCCCCTGCACAAGTCTTACAATGAATATAGAATGTCTTGGAAAATCAGATTTCCTGATCTGCTAGACAACCGCCAACTTGTAGTTCTTCACATGGGGGTGGGTTTATGGGTGTGGTTCTCGCGACCCTCTGGTCCAAGGTACTCTTGAGAATGCTCTTCCTTACATGAGCTATAGTCTAAACTCCTACTATCCCCTTTAATAAGAGCTATCATAGTCCCCTATACAATCCCCTATATAACCCCCTTTAAGGAGTTTAGACTATAGTTTACATGGGGATCCTACTGGCAAAGGCAACTTGGCCTATGGTATTGTTGGGGACAGCCATTTCCCAGACCCCCTAAAGGATCCAAAAAATGGAACCCCCGAATAATCCCTAGCTTACCCAATGTAATAATGGGCCCATATTTGGGGGGTTCCATTTTTCGGATCCTTTAGTGGGTCTGGGTTTGTGAACAACCGCCACGAAGGGATCAGAATGGGGCCTGCTGAAGCGCAGTCTTCTTGAGCATGAGCAGGCTCGTCATGTCTAATCAGTGACACGATTGTTTTCTGTTTTCTTGCAGTTGTAAGCACACTTGACGCTAACGCCGAACTTTTTAAGTGTATGCAGATGCGTTGCCTTAAGCCTCCGGCTCCAGCACTTCGGTGTACGTGTCGTGAAGCGCGTGGCGGCTGACTCAGTACGTCTCTCTGAAGGTGTGCTCCCCCTCCGGCGTGGCAAGGACGTAGTCGCCCGCCTCCACTTTCTGCGCGGATCCCCAGCTGGCGAGAAACTGGCCTTCTGGTATATCGCCGTCTTCAACCCCAACGAAGATTCGCAGTTTTTGAGGAGGATCTTAAATGGCGGTATTCGTGGTCTCGAAGACTCCGTCCACAAACGTGTCCACCTTCTCCTCCTGCCCGGCAATTCTTGCCAAAATTGCTGCGCTCTTGTACGCAAGGCGCCCCTGCGTCTCGAACTTGGGGCGGAGGCGATCCATGACCTGGAGGTCCGTGAGCATTGTGCTGACAAGCGAGCCCGTCTAGGGCCTATAGGGAGGATCAGGAATCTGAAGCTCATGGCTCGACTTCCAAAGACGTCAAGGCTGCTCTCAAAGGCAAAGGAGTCTCTTGGCAAGTCTCACCTCGGCGCCTGGCATTGCCATTGCACCGAGCAATCGTAACGGCAAGCTGCTCGTTGAGGCGGCCGCAGATTGTGGCCACTTCGGCCCCCTCAAGCGCAGCAACTTGCGCCGCTAGGCGGTGTAGCAGGGCTGCTGCTCCTTTGGCCTGGCCCCCGTGCGCCTCAGAAACAATGGGTCTGTATGCGACACCAACCGCCTGGCACAAGGCCTCCGTACGTTGATGTCTGCATTTGTGGAGGCTATAGGCCTCGGCGGCTCCAGCTGGAGAGCGCCGGTGGCTTCAATGTGATTGGGTCCCAAGGCATTGATGACGGCAAAGACGAGCGCCAGCGGCCCTGGGACGCGCCAGCTGCATCTGGCAGGCGATCAAGCAGAGGTCCTGGCCGAGGCAAGAGGATATCGGCTGGCCTGCGTCTCTCCAGACTAGCCCCTTCCAGAACGCCTGCAAGGACCGGTTGAAGGCCGGCACGGCGGCAGTAGTCATTGACGATGTCTCGGACTTGGTTGTGGGTGACGACCGCGTCCCCTCCGGACATGCATGACCGGGCATGACGGCCACCTGCCTGCGAAAGGGCATTGTCAAGTGTCAGAGATGGCACAAGGTTCCACAATGCGGTGGCGCCAGGCGCGGAGGTCGCATGGAGGCGTGAGATGTCGGCAGGGCCTGCTTCAGCCCTCCAGGCAGCAAGCGCTGCGCAGGTCAGTTTCTTCGCGACTGCTCGCTGCCGCAGGTTCTCATCCAGTTCAGGCCTGAGTTCAGGGGGCAACCCCGCGTCCAGTAAGCGCCAGTTGCAGCGATCAACAGCAGCAGTTGTGTGGGCCGAAGGCGGTCCGTCAGCAGGCAGCCCGGCTACGCAAGGGTAGCCTGTGCCCAAACATGGCCGGCCTTAAGTGTATACAGTCCCTAATACATCTTGGAGTATATGACGGTCGTCCGCTACCAGATTGTACATGTGTATGTACAGTCCTATAGCCCTATTTGCTGTAGCCAGCAATTGCAGTAGGTCTTGACCAGGACATTTCTACTTCCTGCTTCTGGTGTTCAAACAAAAGGCTCCGATTCCGAGATTGGGGGACTTTCAAACCCTCTCATACCTTTCCACGTGGCAACCGTGGCTCAGTTGGGCCCGTAAATTATGAAATGATACTTTTGGTAGAAGAACGTTACAACTATCGTTGCGCATTCCTTATGTTGTTTCATAGACTGAAAGTCAAGAAAAATTCTTAACAATGACCCAAGATGCAACTTCTTCTTCACATGATGGATGATACGTCTTATGGGCCCCATGCGCGGCACGGGATCATCAGCCTGTCGATATAGCATCCTCTAAATGGACTGCAGTCTTCATAGGGCCCTTTTGGGATCTACATTCGGGTCGAGACATTACGGGCTGGGGTTCGAAGCCCGAAGGCTATAGTATCGAAATGCCATGAAACGTGTTACTTTTCACTTTTCCACAAATGTTTGGGTTGGAGATACTGATGTCCCAACTTTCGGCCCTAGGATTAACGCGGATCCGAGTTTAAGTAAGGCAGGGCGAAGGCTGGGGTTGGGGGGTTAAGCAGACTTTCCAGTGTAGTACCTGAGGATGTAACCAGTTAAGGACATAGGGCTTAGGGTTGAGGGTACGCAAAAATGTAGCATCCAGTGGAAAAGCAAATTGAACATGAAATGGAATCTGGGGTGAATACTGTTGATACGAAAAATCCTGCATGATCTTAGTATACTATAATGCCAGAAGTCCCAAGGGAATAAGGTACCTAGCGTCATGAAAAATCTTTAGTATCCACCGTACGAAGTCTCACAATACAAACGTAAGGTTTCCTGAACCGTTTACATGGACAGTTTGGACCGGGTTGCTGTTAAGGAACTTAATGTGAAATAACATAATCTGGGTATATGGTGAATAATCGGGTTATCCTTCTTCTTCTAACTTACTCTAAGTTCCTTAACAACAACAACCCAGCAGAGGGATCCCCTTATATACACCTGAATCATACAGCCTTCAAATTTTCGAGCCCAAAACCGAACCCAAATCACCTTAAGCCTCCAGCCCTAATCCTGAAATGGGTTGCTCTAGGGTTCAAGGTTGCCCTAAACCCTAAACCCTAAGCCTGAAACCCTAAACCTTCCCACGAAACCTCAAGGAATGGGATTTTTACCACGCAACGGGAGCCTGAACATTTGTAACCTCTTCAGGACTCAAACTGGCATGGAATCTGAAAAAGGGCACTTCGTAGACTTCTCTCCTTTTAAATATGGGGGCTAGGAGGTTCCATGATACTTTGATTGGGTCTATGAGGTTTCTGGTATTGCTCCTTTTCTCCTAGCTTGGGAATTGATTGCGGGCGTTTTCTGTTCTCTACTATACCTCCGCCACCCCAACACCTAGCCGCCCTAGGGTTTCCCTTCCCCTGTCAAATCCTAAAACCCAAGAACTCTGAACTGATGCCGTCAATCCGGAACCCGGATACCCCGCGTCTCTTGTGTAATTGGGAATCTCCACTCTTTAGTCATACCAGAAGGATTTAGGGGCTTAGCGTTTTGGATTTAGCGTTGAAGGATTTGGGGGCTTAGCGTTTTGGATTTAGCGTTGATCATATTTTGGGGTACATAAAAGGACCCTCTTCCTGAAAATCCCTCAGCGTTGAAAAGAAAACTCTTCACTTTGATCGCTTCCCCTAACACTAACCCTAAACCCTTAAACCCCTAAAGCCCTAGGGGGTGAGGAGGTTGATTCTCAAATCGGGGTAAAGATTTCTCTTGCACGTTTGGTAGCCGTTAGAAACCCAAGTCCTTTAAGAGAGTCCTAGGAAGATGCCTGAAACGCTACCCTAAACCGTGAATCTCTGAAGAAGACGCTTATAACTTCTAGACAATATAAGCCCATTTTTGCGAACCTGTATCTCCAAACTTACGCCCTGCCTATCCATATGCCCACCCTAAAGGGGCCTGAGCAAATGTAAAAAATGTAAATGTACACATATTTGCTTTCTTTGCTCCACTCATTTTGTTCCATGTTCAATCAGCCCTAAACCCTGAGCCCTAAACCGTAAACCCTGAACCCCAAACCCTGAACCCCAAACCCTAAACCCTGAACCCTAAACTCATGGCATAGGCCGCCCACCTTCGATGGTGGGCGGCGCTTAAGCCGCTCGACATCGACCTCGCTGGCGCAGGTCGATCAGCACGCTCGCCTGCCTTCCCACAGCCAGGGGCACGTTAGCACCCACGAGAGGTCAGGTATCTTCCAGGGTTTCCCGACCTCCGGCCTCTTCCCTCAGGGCTATGGGGGCCTCAGGGCTGCCAGGGCCTGCCTGTGAAGGATCCAGTGCCGTCTTTTAGGGCTCCAGGGCCTCGGGCTTCCAAGCTCCCCAAGCTGCCAAGGCCGAGGCCTCAGGGCCCAAAAATTGTCCAGGGCTGAACAACTCCAAGGCTGTGAAGTTCGGGCACACAATCTATGAATCACTGCCGCTACGCAACATTGCAGCAAACCCAAAACCTTGATCCCTGAACCCTAAACCCTGAACCCCAAACCCTGAACGCTAAACTACACGCAGTTCAATCAGCTAAAGTGCCCCTGTGATCACCCGCACCTGCTCAGCCACAGCCGGCACTCTGGCCTGGATAGCGTTAACAAGAGGATTTTGGAACCCCAAACCCTATGATTTAGGGTTAAGGGTTTAGAGTCCTCTTCCGGATAGCACTAACAAGAGGATTTTGGAACCCCCCTATGATAAAAGCCATATGAGCTATAGTCTAACGCTAGGGGGCTACTATCGGGGTTAGTACGGGGATACTTGGAGTTTAGACTATGGCTCACATGCGACTCTACAATGCAGAAAGCCCTCTGATCCAGTGCTGTCTTTGTGGCTGAAAAATGTATATGCCAGTCTACGATGTCATGATTGGGCTGCCAAAGCCCTCTAATTCAGTGTTGCTTTGGTGCTAACATAGGCCCAAAATACTCTATTTCCTATGATAGGGACCCAATAAAGTACCCCAAATTTCGGGAACCCCCCCCAACAGATTATGGGGGTCAGTTTCCCTTTGAACGGGCCATCGGGGTATACAGTCCCTTTAAAGGGGTTATAGGGATATTTCTGGTCCCTTTGAAGGGGTTATAGGGGCATATGGCGATCTCAAGGGTCACGTTTAGGGTTTGGGGCTTCCAGGCTGGAAGTTACCACATGGGTACCCGCACATAGAGCTCATGTAAGGCTTGTCAGGGAACTAGAAGGTATGTAAGGGATATGACAGGTATATCAGGCCTATGTAAGGCGTACATGGGGGAAACAACTCACCTGAAATTTTCCAAATGTGTGTCTAGTCTTCATCTGTGGTCGTACCGAACAAGAGACCATTTGTTTCAAAAAACAAAAAGGAGAAGGTTATCTTGTGCTACATGAACGCCAACGATATCCCCAGATCAAGAATCACCTCGCCTAGTATCAAGAACGCCCACCCTGCAATATCAAATGCTCGAATTGCAGTATACCATAATGTATTGGGAATATTCAAACCCTAAAACCTTAATATTAGGGGGTGGGAAGTTTTTTAGTATTGGGGGGGGATTATTATAGCACTGGGTAGCATTCTGAAAGAAAATAGCCTAGCAGACCCTTCAAAGGGGCAAGAAGGATACATTAGGGCTTAGGGTTCAGGGTCTAAGGCTTTTGGGTTCAGGGACCCTAAGCCATAAACCCTAAACCCCTAAACCCTGAGGGTTTCAGTGTTTCGGGTTTCACGGTTTCGGGTTTCCAGGGAACCAAGGGCTCCTAGTATGGGCCCTGAGCCCTGGGATCCTCATATACCTACTATACATCCCACATGTATCCTCAAGGGCCCGTTGAATCCGCCTAAACGGCCTAAGGGCCACATTAGGGGCCCATCCTTGACTCCTTAGGAGTTCCCGTGAATTGGGGATTTTCTTTGGAGGTACCTATAATAAGAACTATAGTTTCTTGGGGTCTGCGTTGGGGTTCCTCTACTTAAGGAAGCTGCCACATAGGGTTCAGGCCTTCTGGATCCAGGATCAATCGCACAACTTCGGCTCCAAACCCAATGCCCAAGGTACAAAGGGGTTTATCATGGGTTTCCTTACTACCCCCTAGGGTTTGGGTTTAAGGTTTCAGGATTAAGGGTCTTCCCCTCTCTATACTACCCCAGGTTCCCCCTTAATGAACATTAATTAGATTTAATTAGCCCTATAATTAAGGAGGGAACCCAGGGGGGTAGTGTAGAGGGGGGTAGTAGGGGAACCCATGGGTTTAAGCAGGAAGCCCTTTGCAACCTTTTCCTGAGCCCTATAAATCCCGAACCCATGGAATCTAACACCGCATACCTCCCAGATCTTAACTCCTCCAGACTCTGTCTGAACACTATCAACCCGACCCCGCGAACTTTCTCTCAACCCTAAACTGAGAAACCACATTGAAACCCTGACTCCCTGCTTACAGAAAAGCTTGTCCCCATGTAATCCCTCAAGGGAGATCCCTGTAACCCTTATAGCATCCTTTTTTGTAACCCAAGGGTCCCGAAAGCCCTGAACCCGAAGTAGTAGTTTCCATTTTCTTTTCCATTCTCCCTATATAATCCCAGCATTTACCCTATAATCCCTATAATACCCTAAACCCTAAACCCCATTATATTATAGTAGTTTCCATTTTCTTTTCCATTATCCCTATGTAATCCCTATATAACCCCTAATCCTAAACCCCTAAATCCCTATATAACCCCTATATACCCTACTATAACCCTAAAGCCTATAATCCCTATTTGGGGTTGAGGGTTTGGGGCCATTACGGGAACCACTTCTCTTGCCTGAATCAAGGAAGTGATGTCCGAGTCATTGCTTTCCTGCCTATCACCGTGAATCTTGTGGAGTGAGGATGAGGGTTTAGGGTTTACGGGATTTAGGGTTTAGGGGTTTTGGGGATTGAAGTTTCGGGATTTAGGGTTTAGAGTTTAGGATTTAGAGTTGAGGGATGAAGGCTTAGGGGATTGGGGTGTGAAGTTTAAGGATTTGGGTTCAGGGTGTGCAAGCCACTAGAGCCTGGGCTTTGGGTATAGAGATTCAGGTGTATAGCGCGTTGGGAATCAAGATACTTTTTCAAGCTACAGACCAAATCTTGGACTCCCCGCAGGAAGAACCATAGCAACTGTTTCAGGGTTCCCATTATGATGCCGCAGCTACATGTATCTGATGATCAAAAGAGGGCCTGACACCTAGAGAATACTGTTACATCTGTCCATATGAGGAGCCCGTAATAATGGGAACAAGGGGCTTGTGAGACCAACGAATGTTG